CAAAATTCCTCATGCTGAAACTATTAAAACCATACTTTTCAGAATTTGTCTACCATATTTAAACAGTCAAAATCCTAATTACATTGAAAAAAGCAAACATGTTTATTCAGAAGAAGTATGTTTTGCTTCTTTCTTTCTGTTATTTGATAATTATCATTAATAAATTAGCATATATGAGGTTTTCACTGTTGAGACATTGAGGTTGCCTCTTATCAGAGCATTAGAACAAACATTATTAAATGTGATATTTTTATTTTTTTGAGCATTGTACCTGTTGACATAATTTAAATTTTAGTTTCATGTGCAATTATTATTAGGAATAAAAAAAAAATCTTTTTCATGTACTAACATATTCTATACATAAAATAACAAATTTTTTTCTTTTCAGATATGCTTTTCTTAAGCTGGATAAAGTGCCCAGTATTTCATGACACTTCATGTTTATCTAAGATAATAGCGAAGAAAAGAGTCTTCTTTAAACTAGTTTCTACTGCCGCTGTGAAAAATTGAAGAAAGGCATTTTTATTTCCTAAAGACAATAACAGTATTACACCGTATTTAAATATGATGTTTGTTTAAATGTTATTCNATAACTTAAGCCTATTGAAAATAAGTTAAATACTTCTGTTGCTCAATTACTGATACTTATGAAATACTGCTAAGAACTAATCTACCATATCTAATCTAAAATATCAAACAGTACACTCTTATTAAATATTACAATTACAGTTAATGTAAATGTCTTCAATAGGATAGAGTTAATTGAAGGTAGCAGTCAGTATGAGTTTAAAAGACAGTGACTTGCCTAAAGAATTACTCACAACAACTTGCTCACAGGAATTTAGTCTCACAGATGAGAAACCTCATTCTTTTAGTGTATGTAGCAGGAATTATTCACAGAAGGAACATCTAACTGCCCACAAACGCATTCATACCGGGGAAAAACCATATTCTTGTAGTATATGTAATAAGAGTTTTTCAAATAAGCGTTTACTATCTTTGCACAGTCGCATTCATACTGGTGAGAAACCTTATTCTTGTGGTGTATGTAATAAGAGTTTTTCAATTAGGTGTAATCTAACTACACACAGCCGCACTCATACCGGAGAGAAACCTTATTCATGTAGTGTTTGTAATAAGAGTTTTTCACAAAAGAGTAATCTAACTGCACACCAACACATTCATA